CTAGTTTTTAATATTTCCGGCTTTATTTTCAGTTGACGTTTTTTGATGGTTTACATTGCTGTTGTTGTCTTTTTTTGGCTGGTTTTTTTGTATGTTTTCCAGTATATGAAATCCAGGATACGTAAATGGAGCCAACAACTGAATTAATAGCTTATTAGGGGTATGAAAGGGGAAGTTGGAGGGAAATGGAGAACTCATAATGAGTATGAGAAGGAAGAAAATGCTCTAGAACTGATTATACAACTCCTTTGGATAAGACTGAACTACTAAAGTGTATGATATGTGAATTATATGTCAATAAAATCTTTTTCTTTTAAGTACTTGAATTGAATCTGGCACTTGGCAACCTCCCATAACCAACCACTCCCAGCCACCCAGCCCCAACCACCTCCTCAAATCAGCACCTTCAGATGCCCCAAGGCCCCTCCAGTGCTTCCCATCTACCACCACCTTTCCTCAACCACTACCCATGACAACTGCATCACCATCACAGGTGCACCAAAACTACAATCAGAACTCACAGGCCATCATTAACAACCAGATCAACCTGGAGTACTATGGCTCTACTTGTCCATGATTTACTACTCGGCATTGCAATGATGTGGCTTTGAACATTTTGCTAAGTATTTTCTGTACTAATCTCACAAGGAGAGGGAACATGCAAAGAACCAACGTGGCTGGATCTTCCTGATATCAAGGAGGGGAAAAAACACTGAGAGGACAGATTGCAATCCATGACATGAAACAAATTCTGACTTGCTGAATGTAAATTTTGTTGTTGTTGAATGTAAATTGATGATATGCTCTGTAGACCTTTACACAATGCACAATACATTTTTTTAACTATTTTAATTTTTTAAAATAAACAGACTGAACACAAAGGAGTGTGCATCACACATGGGGAAAAGTGTGACTCACTCATCACTAGAACTACACAAATAGGCCACTGACAATAACAAACCTCTACTTGTGTGACTTCATTGAGATAAACTACATGAGCAGGTGGAGTTTATCAAAACATTGGGTGACTAACATTAACAACTTGCACAAGATGGGTGCCACAGAACACAGCCCAGCAGAGTATCATTTTCACAAGCACGTCTTAAGAAGACAGAGAGTGCCAAGCTTTTGGCTGCCTTGCCTTCCCTCCAGGTCCAGGGGTGATATCCAGGGTCATCAAGACGGTGCATGCATGTAAGAATTATCGTTATCTTTTTAATAAACTATACCAAAGCATTCACTTAAGTTCTCTCATTTGTACCACTGCTTCAGATACAAGCAACCTAATGCTCAGAACTTAAAATAAGTTCATCATCCCCTCCCATCTCCCCAAAACTCACAGGCTCAGACTACAGTTGATTACAGGTACATGAAATACACCTATGATCCAGCTTCACTAGTCTTTATAATAGTCTATCTGCATCAGTACATTGACTGGGAGCTGACAGAAAGAGCTGATTCAAAAAAGGAAGTAGAATAAGGGATATGACTGCTAACATCATCAGATTAATCTTGGCTGAAAGTAAAGAATACCAGAAAATTGTTTACTTGTATTTCATTAAATAAGCAAAGGCATTTGATTTGTTGAATCTTAACAAATTATGGATAAAACTACAAAGAATGGAACTTCCAGACCACTTAATTGTGCTCATTCTTAACCTGTACACAGACCAAGATACAATCAGTTCAAAAAGCACAAGGAAATACTGCCTAATTCAAAATTAAGAATGGCGTGTGTTAAGGTTGTACCCCCTTTCAACACATTTATTCAATCTATATGTTGAAAAAATAATCTGAGAAACTAGATTATCTGAAGACTACAGAATCAGGATTGCAAAAAAACTCATCAATGACATCTGATATGCAGATACACAGAACCTGGTGCTGAAAGCCAAGAGGACTTATAACTGATAAAAACCAAGGACTACAGCCATCAATATGGACTACACTTCACTATTAAAGTAACGAAAACCCTCACACCTGGCTCAACAAGCAAGATCATGATAAGCGGGGAAAAGATGGGTGCCAGCAAAGATTTCATTTTTCCGTGGAACTCCAATCAACACCCTGTGAAGCAGCAGGTCAAGGAATCAATGGACATGCTGCATTGGGCAAATCTGCTGCAAAAGACTTCTTTAACATGCTAAAAAGCAAAGATGTCATTCTAAAGTCTAAAATGGGCCTCACCCAAACCATAGTATTTGGAATTGCCACAAACATATGCAAAAGCCAGACAATGAGTAAGACCAAAATATTATTGCTGTCTTTGAATTATTGAATTGGTGAAAATATTAAATATGTAGTGGACTTACTGCCAGACAACAAACAAATCTGTCTTGGAAGAAAGATCTGCTTAGAAGCAAGAAACAAAAATTCTGTCTCATGTACTTTGGCGATGTCACCACCAGGAGGGATCTGTCCAAAGAGAAAGGCATCATGCTTGATTTCTGTTTTAAAAGTTCAGTAAAAAAGAAAATGACCTCCACTGAGATGGACACAGTTGCTCAAACAATGGGTGCTAAGACAGCACAAGATTGGGCAACATTTCTGCTGTACACAGGGTCCTAGGAGTTAGGAATGAATCAACAGCACCTAACAGTCAAAACACGGTTTCACGTGTTTCCAACCTCATCTCTACATTGTTGTCCAAATGATCTTTCTAAAATAGAAATGTCATGCTATTTCTAGCTTCAAGGGCCCCCCTCAAGCAACAGGACCAAGTTCGTAGTATGAGCAAAAGAAAAGCGGGGGAGAAAAAGAAGGAAAACATGACTATCAGCCTCACCTTTCACAGGTGCCTTATCCTCACGTCTTAATATTCAAAATCCAGAGAAGTGTTCTTTTCTCAATATACTTGTGTCTTATCATTTGATTCTCCCATTGCCTATACTACTCCTACTACTTTTCACACACCAGGCTATGTTAAACAATTACTTACCTTGAAAAGACTGAAGCCTATTATTACATGGATAAAATTAAAGAAATTAAAAGTTGAATAAACCCCTAATCCTAATTGATAGGAAAAGAATCCTCAATGATAAGAAAAGAAAAATAACTTTAACTAGTACTTAAGCATATTTTCCAGTATGATAAATGTAGATTAGATCTTATCAATACTATAAATCAAGTGTACTGGGATTTTGTTAACTAGGCTAGGAAAACCAACTAGCAATTTTATAAGAAAATGTATTCCTGTTTTATATAATGTATAAATCATTTTTGGAACAAGATGTAATAAATTTTTAACAAAATAAACATTAGATTTAGAATTTTATAAAGTGGCACTTCAAATCAGTGAGGAAAATATGAATTATTCAATAAATGGCAATGGGATAAATGGTAGCCAGCATCTTAGCATCGAAGAGAAAATAAAGTTGGGTCCATACCTCACATTGTATTACCTGGATACATTCCAAATGTATCAAACATTAAACTGTAAAAAGAAAAAGAAACCATAAAAATACTAGAGGAAAATGTGAGAGCATTCCTTTATAACTTCAGAGTAGGGAGAGCCTTTCTATGATTCAAAAGGCAATGAAAGACAAAACTGAAAAATTCAAGTAAACAAAAGTCAAAACTTCCACATGGTAAAAAAGCATAGAAGGAAAAGCTACTAACACCTGAGCAAAAGTAAAAGTGCAATTCATGTCACATGAGAGAGTCCCATGAAGGCTCCAACAAATCAAAAAGACTAGCAACCAAATAGAAAAGCATATAAACAGACAACTCACAGAACACACAAACAGCTCCTTAGAACATAAATAGATGCTGAACTTCCCTCACACGAAGAGATGCAAAAAACTGCTCTAAAATACCAATTCCACCTACTGGATTATCAAGACTATAGAGAAATAACTTTCTGGTTCTTAATAGCCGGGAACATAATTTACCATATACACTTAAGTATTAGTCATAGAAAAAAAGATTATAAACACTAAAGTCCAACACATGACTAACTTAAAAAAGGAAACTCTACACTGATAAAGACAACATAAACTGTTTAGTGAAAAAAATTAAGGTGAAGAAAAGTGGGTCTATATATTCAACATTTGTTTTAAAATGGGGGAGAAAATTATACTCTTTCTACTGATATATTTTTTTAACAAAAGAAACCTGGGTAGCTATAAAAGGAAATAGCAACAGCAATTACCCTGATGACAAGTAAGTTTTCAAGGAATTAGGCAGATCGGAAACAGGATTATGAGGAAGGGTTTAATTTCATTAGTTCTTAATTTTTGACAATCTGACAGTATATTAGTCTAAACACTGTTTTAAAATGTATATATAAGTAGCCACACAGCACTTTCCCCTATCTTACGAACGCACTCTATTCTATGCAAAAAATACTGCAGTTAGTGGCCCTAAATTGAAAGATATAGTAGTAATAGTTTGACCCATATCTTTTTGAGTTTCCTCATTAGCTACTACTTAGTTTAAGAAATTCTTGTCTAAATGTTTAGTTATGATACTGAGTTATAAAGAAATATAACTTCTAGGCCTAACAACAAAGTTAAAGTGAAAATGAAAAACACACAAAAATTCTCAGGAAAACACAATGGAAATAAGAGACAGAAGTTAGCATTTCCCTATATTCAAACAACAAAGATCCCCAGGATGTTAAAAAATTACTATTCACTAGAGATGTAACCTGTCTAACAACATAAATTAAGATTTAAAAAAATCTCAAACAATGGATTTTAGATATCACAAAGGAAACTAAAAAGTAGTCTGTTTTTCTAAAAATAATTTCTAGCGTAAGAAATTATGTCCATAAAATATCAATGTTACATTCTGTATAACATAATTAGTGCTTACATTTGTTCACAAGTAGGAAATGTGTACCTCAATAACAAAGGATTACAAATTAAACCTACTACTGTTAAAAATATTTCAGTAGCAAACATTGACTTGAAAAATAATATGAACTATCAAATATTTTTAAACTTACTACCCTACTCACTTTCAATTAATAAAATACCTTCAATAGGTATTGCACTTACCCCCATTATCTGTTCTTTTTAAAGCTCCATCCTTATGGGGGCATAGTTCACATCTCTATTAAAAAACAAAGAGAAAATGAAAGCTTTTTTTCCCCCTCACAAATATAACATTTCCTTATAGCCTCAAAAGTATTAAAAATGTGGGAGAAACATTTGTACTATGGCCACCAAAAATATTTCACAGTATTTCTCATGAAGTAATTTTTTCCTTGACATGTGATCTTCAGAGCACCAGAAAGCAACTTTAAAATGGATAAATCTAACTAGTATAAATGTGTAACAAAAATATGTATCTTTCTATGTTTTATATTACATCAATAAAAACAAAAAGTCAGCATGTACCATATCTCTTTTACTCCCTATCAAGTAGGGTTATTATAGTCAATTAGAAATGAGCCAAAATAGTTCATTTAAAGCTTGGACTGCCATTCATAAACGATGAAGGAATGGATAGATCTAAATACACCATTATTCTTACATTTAACATATAATTTTCTCAGAAGTGATTGTTGCCCCTGTTCCTATCACTCTTATGTTTTAAAGCCAGGTACTACCAAAACCAAGCTGAAGCTCAGTGCCATTGAACTGACTTCTGACTCACATCAACCATGTAACAATTCCCCCTGTGGGTTTTCTAGATTGTCTATCTTTACAAAAAAGTATAATGTCTCATCTTTCTCCACCAGAGTGGCTGGTGGTTTCGAACTCCTGATCTTGCAGTTAGCAGACCAATGGACAACCCACTATGCCACCAGGGCTCCTTAAGGTACTAATATTTCTTTTTAATATTGGAAAAGGGGGCAGGTATAACTAAGTAAATAATAAGAGATTTCAATTACATGTCTTAACTATAAAAAAAATACATTCTAAGAGGTCACACCTAATGATTAATTAAACTCTACTTCACTCCCAAAATAATTTTTATAGTAATAAAATAAAATCCTAAAGAAATCTAAGAGTAAGAAGAGAAGATATAAAAGTAAATAAGTACATAAAATGTAAGCCACAGATACTGTATTCCTTTTCAGGACTTACTTCACTCTCCACGTTTTGCCATTATCTCTGTGACAGGACTTTCCAAATCACTTTCAAAGCCAGTTGCTGTCAAGTAAATTCTGACTCATGACAACCCTAGGTGTGTCAGAAAATACCTACAAGATTTTCAATGGCTGCTCATTTTTCAGTAGCAGATTAACAGGCTTTATTTCAAGGTGCATCTAGATGGACATAATCTGCCAGCCTTTCTGGTAGCAGCCAAGAAATTTTTACCATGTGTACCACCCAGGAACTTCAATCATTTCATCTGACCTTTAAATGATTGTAATTTGATGTTAAACATTAGACAGTCAGTCTCATTCGTCACCAAAACTTCCATTACCAACCAAATTACAAGGACATGCCACAGATTCTCAAATTTGATCTCCTGTTCAGTTATCCTTTGCATTTGAAACCCAGTACATATAAACAAAAAAACAAACCAAACTCACAGACATCAGTCATTGCTGGCTCACAGAGACCCCCATTGTGGGTTTTTGAGGCTGTAACTGTTTACTTAAGGGAGTACAAAGTCAGGTCTTTCTTCCACGGAGCTGCTGGTGATTTCAAAGTGTCAACCAAGGGGATCACAGCCAATACGTAATCACCACCCCACCAGGACTCCCTCTCCAGTATATAATACGCATTTTAAACTCTATTTAAAATTTAGGATAAAGTCTGATCTTCTTTTAGTTTTATCTGTGATTCAGAATCATTGAGATGGCAGTGGATGTATCTTAGTAATGATATTTGCAATCGCATCTGCAATGAAAGACACCTAGATATAATCCCTGACAACTTCATTAAAGTTTTTAACATGTTTTAATTTTCCACAATAGTACTGGGAAATGACTAAATTGGGACTATTTTTGTGAGCACCTAAACAGCCTCTCCACATTTACTTTTAACCAATATCCACCAATCTATTTTCTACTATATTAGAGCTTGAACTCTAAAGCACTAGGCTTGTGAAGGGCTATGGTCTACGGTGGAACCCTACCTCCATTCTCCATTCTTGACATAAATTCAGGCTGTATTTCATTAGATTAACCAGCAATGTAGCAATTTCGCCCTTGAGAGATAGATGACAAGGGAAAGAGGCAGCTTTGCCCTTATAAGCCTAAGAATGTCTGTAATGATTTACCGAAAATATCTGCACATTAATTAGGTTTAAAAGTTGGAGTCCTAAAAAAAAAAAAGTTGGAGTCCTGGTGTCCCATGCCACATCACCAGTGGCCTCAACCACCCTAACCACTATGAAACCAAGTAGTAGGCTGAAACCCCAGAACTAGTCGAAGGCCCACATCCCATCATGTAAGCTTTTTTAATATGCAACTGTGTACCTATCCCAATGAGGTCCTTTCCCATCTTCTAGTCCTTACTGCAGCAAGGATGAATTGAACTACATCGTACCAAAATCTGAAGGTGTTTTTCTTTGTGCCTAATGATACATAATTATTATATAAGAAACTCCATGGGTGTGTTAAGACAGGGTTCTCTAGAGAGATAAAACCAAATTCTTGATAATATATTTATTTATAAAGGTAATTAATATATAACAAGAAATGAAATGTTAAAT